ATCTATCACAGAAACAAATAGCGGAATACCAGATGTTATCAATCATAAATGGACCTGAACAATTATATTACTATAAGAAAAGAATTGGTAATAGTGGTAAAACTGTCAGGGAATGGGGCGTGGGATTGGCAGTTGAGGGAAACTGCTAGACGAGGGAGGGGCACACCTCATCAACAAGGGTACTTGCATAATCAACATTTGCATACCCCTGAACTGTACTCCACATCTTTATAATAAAAAAGAGAAAATATATACATACACAGATGTGTGTAAATATATACATATATATGTATTTATATGCATATAAATTTTTGTATAGACATATATAGGTATATACACTTCCATATAATTATACGTATATGTTACGTATATCGTATAGGCAGGTAGTAAGGAACAGAATCAAAGCGGCGGCGCCCCGAGTGAGGACGCGCCCACCCACCCTCCTGTCAATTGCTTCGGTTCGTCCAGTCCAAAGCTGGGCGGTGGTGGGGTCCGGAACGTTGGAGGGGAGACGCCCAGCCCCGGAGGGAGGGGCCGCAGCCTCGGCGACCCCCTTCGTCGCTACCGCGCGGGTGGCGTCTCTCGCCTCGCCCGGTCCACGGAGCCCTCCGGCCTCTTCGAGCTTTTTTTCTTCAAAGGTCGAGGGGCTCTACCGGCCCCAAGTGCGGTCGATTTTCAGTGTTTACAAAATAAACACCGGAGCAGCCTGGCGTCCCCGCCCACATTTGGGGAGGAGGTCGCGGAAGGGCAGGCGAGCGCGAGTCCGCTCCCCGGGGATCTCTGCTTGGAGGAGGCAACCGGGAAGGCGCAGCGGAACGCCCCTCACCTCCCTGGGAAAGTTCTGTCCCTTTCCTAACTCAGGAGGCGGCAGCAGGCATGGTGCCCAATTCCAGGAAGGCAGGAAAGAAGGCTTGGAGCTGACCTTACGGAATGCAGAGATAAGGGTATTAACCTAAATAATAACAATAATCCCAGAACCGGACTTTTTTATTTTTTCCAAGCGTGCTCATGGCTCTCGCGGGACAGGGCCTGAAGGGTGTCTGCGCGGAGGCTCCTGGTCTGGTCCAGAGAGGCCGGGCGCCCGCCCACCCGACTCCAGGCGCTTTGGTCCAGCAGGCACGGAAGGTGCATGCTGTACAAGGCCATTCAAAAATGAGCTGGAGGGCATGAGGCAGATGAGCTTTTCGATTAAAAAAACCCATTTCTGTTTAATTCCGAGATACGTTTGAACGATGGGATTTGACTGAGCCAAATGACCCATTTGACCATTGTATCCAGATTAAAAGAGATAAATTACTGCCTTGACAAAAGATGCTAAACCGTAAAATGAAAAGCTGACCAAATTGAGAAAACAGCTGGGGCAGGGCAGGGCAGATAACTTTTAATATTACTTAAAAGTAAAAGCGATGACGACAACCAACTCTTGTTCTCTACCTACACTTGAGCAAGCTTGAATTTAGTGAAAGTTGGTCTCTACATTGTCTGTGAGTGATTGCTGTGGTAGCGCAGATCTGTTAAACCAGTGCCTGATTTAAATATAGTTGTGTGCGTCGTCAACTTAGTTTGTGGAATAAAGCCAGAATGGCACTGATAAATCAAGGTATTTTCAGGTGAGGGCAGCTTAATTCAGATTAGTTTCAGTTTCATGAAAAGTTGGATTTTCTCATAAGAATACAGCCTAGCATGCTTCATGCAAGCATTCCTCACTTTGCACTCCCAGGGGAGAGGCAGAAGTTGGGATTTTCTAATATTAGGCCATACTTCCTGGGGATCTCAAAAAACGTGGTCTCTAGGCTGTCATTTTTATAGAGTATAGAATGGACAACACAAGGAAATACAATTAAAATTGCTCAGAGGAATACTTTTTAAAGTGACTAATAAATGACCAGGTTTTTACAGTATATCCTATTCAAAGGAAACCATGAAGGCAGAAGAAAGACCTGTATTTAATATAAAAATAATCTAAAAAGAGTAAGTGATTTAGGAAAAAAAATGGAACCAAGGAGGTTATATTGTTATATCTGCAGATATATTAAAGAAATATGAAGCAATTACACTGTAAATAAGCTAAATGCACTCAAAATCCACAGACAAGGGCATTTATCAGTTTGAAGAACTGATTTTGGGGGATTTCACACATTTGTGGAGGGGAAGAAATTTGTGAAAGGGTTGAATTTACTAGCTGGGAGAGGAGAAAGGTAAGAGTTGACCCTAATAATGGTATACGACATGACCTTATTTTGTAGAGGATAATGTTTTTACTTTTGTAGCTTCCCTTCACCTTCTTCGAATAAATTCTTTTGACTAGAAGGTAATTCCACGAAAACAGCAATTTTATCTATCTTGGACATTATTCTCAGCTGCTAGAATCTGCTTGATATATGCAATACATTTTTTTTTTTTTTTTTTTTGGAGTCTCACTTTGTCACCCAGGCTGGAGTGCAGTGGCACACTTCTGGCGATCCTTCCACCTCAACCTTCCAAGTAGCCAAAACTACAGGTGCATGCTACCATGCCCAGCTAATTTTTGATTTCCTGTAGAGACAAGGTCTCCCTAAGTTGCCTGGGCTGACCTCGAACCCTTGGGCTCAGGCAATCCACTTGCGTTGGCATCCCAAAGTGCTGGGATCACAGGCTGAGTCACTGAGCCCAGCCCACATTTGATAAATGATCTGATGAATGGGAAACCTATTAGAGGTGGTTAAGATATGGTTTACCCCACCTGATCTACTGGGTACTCTCTGCTCTTTACAGTTTAAAAGCTTGTCTGAAAGACAGAAGAAGAAAGGGAAAGAAGAGCCATGCAAGCATTATTTGAGTGCTGGGTCCAGTCGTACCTGAAGGCTTCTGCACACTTTTATATTCCTTTTTAATTACATTTTGCACCTCCTCGTCTCCTGCCCCCACCCCCTTTTGCTTGAATTATTTTAAATTGTGCTTATGCCACTTGTGACTGACAGAGTCCTACTACAAATGATGGTGATAATAGATACATACTAAGCCATTTTTATACGCCAGACGCTGAGCTCTGTGTTTTACATGTATTATTTCATTTACTGCTCACCACAGCCCTGTGATATTATATAATCCTATAACCCAGATGGTAAACAACTGTGTTCCAAATTATTTGAAAATGAAATGGGATGCAATTATCTCAAGGTTCTATTTGAAGGATTTAAATTAAACAGAAGAGAGACGTTTCTGCCAGGGTGGTTCCAACCTGGAATGGGTTGCCAAGACAGATGGTTGAGTTGCCTTCTCAGGAGTTTAAAATAGGACAGATAGATATTCCTCTGGCCTCTTCCATGTGACATAATCTATTGGTATTTTTGACCATTCAGTAATCACTCCAAGGAGAGTAGAAAGTGGCTTGACCCTTGACAATCCAGAATCTAGTGTGCTGAGGAGGGTGTGGTCATGTGAGTGTCTGACTGGGTGAGGAAACAACTTCTGCCTGGAGGCAGAGATTTGAATAGATAGAATCTCAGGGATTCATCTAGTCCTGTGATTTCCAGAATTTCTCAGACTGTAATGAAAGACACAGGACTAGTTTGATTACTCTATGTCATTTTTGCTAATAATTAACACCTTAATAGCACTTTATATCTTAGAAAGGGCTTTCTCATTCTTTATCTCATTTGATTCTAGCCTGTGCTCTGTAATCAGGTATAATTTAGAAACTGGCAGTTAACTATTGTTTACTCTTTTTTTAACCTGGGGGCACATTAGGTATTCTTTGGAGATGGAGATTACTGGGGTCCCTGATTGCTATACACAAGAGCTTTCTGTGGAGGTCTCCTGACTCTGGCAGGTGGCACGGTTAATAGGGTTTTTACAATGTGACTTAAGCCTTGGCCCATAGGAAACACATACTTTTACCCACCAACTCTGGAAGTGCACTCAACTCTACAGTGGTCTGTGCTTCTCTTGTGCTTCTCTTAGTTGGTCTTTGTAAATTGCCTAAGATTCATTGTAGAACCCGGTCTCTCACCCAATCTTATGTCTCTCACTATATAGAGACATATTTTCAGGGGCGATTCAGACTTCAGCTCCTGTGCCCTCTGAATTCCAGGAGGCATGTGTCAGCTTGTGACGTATTTCTCTGGACCCTCTCTTTACTTGGCTAGAAATGGGAGGAAGCACACTCAGGAGGAGTACTGTGTGCCCTCCCCAAGGAGAGCTCACAACTCTTTAAGCAGTCCTGACTCACCCATCTGATGGTTCTATCTCATTTTCATTGACATGGGCTGGATGGTTTTTACAAATTCAGTTGAAATAACATCCACATACCATAACATTCACCATTTTGATCATTTTAAAGTGTACAATTCAGTGATTTGTAGTATATTCACAATTTTGTGCAACCGTCACCACTATCTAATTATAGAACACAGATGCTCCATGACTTACTGTGGGATTATATCCCAATGAACCCACTGCAAGTTGAAAATATTGTAAGTCGAAAATGTATTTAATACAACTGACCTCCCGACATTAGCCTAGCCTGCCTTAAATGTGCTCAAAACACTTGCATTAGCCCACAGTTGGTAAAAATTCTCTAACACAAAGCCTATTTTATAATAAGGTGTTGACTATCTGATATAATTTATTGAACACTGTACTAAAAGTGAAAACCAGAATGATTGTATGGGTATTCAAAGTATGGTTTCTAGTGAACATGTAACACTTCTGTGCCATTGTAAAGTCAAAAAATCATAAGCCAAACCAAAGCACCGTAAGTCGGGGACCATATGAATTTTCATCACCCCAAAAAGAAGCCCTATGCCCATTAAGCAATCACTCCCATTCCCCTTCCTTCCAGCCCCTGGCAACCACTAATCTACTTTCTGTCTCTATGGATTTGTCTATTCTAGACATTTCATAGAGATGGAGTCATATGATATGTGGCCTTTTGTGTCTGGCTTCTTTCTCTTAGTATGTTTTCAAGATTTGAACGGGGTAGCTAAGGTTGCAGA